TTTCCACTCTGTGTCTTTCTAATCATACTATCTGTCTTAGTTGTTAAATGCCATGTAAACAACATAATTAATGTCTACTTATGATATTACAAAAACTCACTCCAAAAATTGTTTCATCCATTGTTACATATTTACCCAACACAACTCTGAAATACTTACATGTTTCCAGCATCACATATTCCACACACTATGAAAGAACATTCTCCATATCTTCTCTTATTTTAAATCCCACTGTTACTTCGAACAATAGTAAACCTGCAGGGCACACCAATCGGATCACAGTAATGAAATTTGAATCAAGTGTAGGCCTATGTCTTCTTTCTGAACATTTATTTATATTGTCTAAATTTGCAAACAGTTCGAGTGTAAAATGTGTTTTGCACAATGTATTTACACTCTACAGATTCTTGAGTTTACTCATCTCCTGGTGCTGTCGTTGTAAAAAATGTTCAATCCCTTATTGTTTTGTACCAGTTTTAGCTCGCAGAAGTTTCAAGGGTGTGATACCCCCTTTCAGCCACTAGATGGCAGCAGCAGAAGTTTCCAGACAAAGGGAAACGCTCTCCCTTGGTTTAATATATAACAGACCTCTGGCTTTAAGCTTTTAGCATTGGTCTGTTATTTAAACCCCAGTTTTAAACGGCGACTCGATCTGATATATCGAGTTTCCAGGTTTTGTCGTGCAGGAATCAAACCTTGCATTCAAACAAACTGCACCATCTCCACGCCACTCAGGAATAATCTACCTGCAGATCCACGCCAAACTGCTCTATTTTACGTCACGCAGGACTTTCGTCTACCTGTCGATCAACGTTTACGTTTTGTATATAACTTTCCTAACATAGTAAAATATGCATTGTATATTCCATTTAAACTATAAAAACACTGTGAAACGCCTACAGACAATCCTAAAGTTTTAGCGTATCCAATTACAGACAGGCGACTTTCATCGTCTGCTTACCTTATTTGCAAAGTTGCAGAGTCCTGCTGATTGTCTGAGATGTTTGAAAGCGTCTGAATTCTTCCCCAGCTTCGTTATATCTAGACGTCGGGTCACCATTTTGTTGGAGATTAAAAGGGATATCTGATCCGCTTTTCAAATCTCCGCGCGTTCCTATGAAGCTGTTTATAATACAGGAAGGAATCCATATCTACAAAGTAACCGTTAACAATAATCTACTTTAATGGCAATATGACAATGCAATACAATCATTACAATACAACATGATATATTACAGTTATATTGTAATGCTTAAGGAGTAATGCCGGCTTACTCCTGCACTGGTTCGCATACTGCAGAGCTACTTTCACCCGAGGGCAGCATGTGAAGAAGAGGCCGAACGCCAGGGATCCACCGGAGATATACCAGAGTAAGAAGGAGGGGTTTGGTGTTAGGTCAGCTGGTCATCTTTTCAGGTCATCTCATTGGGAGACGCAACGCTGGCCAGCAGGAAACCAAACAGGCTCACTTTCCAACAAAAGGTCTCAAGGCCTGCATACCTACACCTCCCCCACAGAGCAATAAAACCCTGTTTACTCCAACCAGCCCAGAATGTTTATAGCCATTTGTAGTCCTTACATTTATGAAAGGATAAAACAGAGAAATCAATATAAAACACAAACACAGGTATTGTTTGAACAGTATTCACTTAACTGCTACTGTTGATAACCACCAGAGAAACCCAAGGGACCTCTCTTAATATCACAAACCACTGTAGCTCGTTCTAAGTTGAATGCAAATCAGGACATGCTCTCACCTTCCCCCATCTTCCTTTGTCCTCAAAAACACATGTCAACAGGCCCCATATCCAGCTCACAGTTTTACCCAAATTATTCTCATTTTAAGCTTATCCATAGTTTGCTAACATGAATAAATACAAATATAACTCTACACTCTGCATCTTTGTGCAGCGTATACTCAAACAGCGACAGGAAGAGCCCACTGCCTGACTCGGACATGCTGTGGAGTGAATCGTGGTCACCTCTGAGAGGGAGTTGGTTGACAGCTAAAAAAGCTATAATATCAACGACAGCTGACACGTAATAACGGTTCCGTGCCAGCTGATCTGCACCAAAGTACTAATTTCCTTATTTGTTTCCTCGCGTATCTGTCTCTCTCTCTCTCTCCACAAACTCTCACATGAAATGTGTTATTTTGATGCGGCATGCCTTAGGAGTCCTTTATCAGTCTGTAATGCGTGTTTCCAGTCGCAAAAACCTTTGACAGTAAAAGCCGCATCAGATGAAGACGCAGGGGCGGATCTATGGGGGGGCAAGGGGAGCTGCCCCCCCCCCCCCCCCCACTGTAGCGCCTTGCCCCCCCAGCTGCCCCCCTAACTTTTGTTTCCCTAAAACTGTACTAAAACAAACCAACACTATTGCCACAAGCTTCTCAAGCAACAAAACAAGCATTACATTAGTTAAAAGTGAATCATTTTAAATATCATTTTAGGCCCGTTAAAAACGCAGCTACGGCCCTGCATTAAACTGCGGAGCGGCGTTCACACAGACCGCGGCTCACACCGCTGCAGAGAGGGAGCGAGCTGTCCCAGCACCTATGGATCCGCTTCCCCTGGGAGCATTTCCCTTTCCACTAGTTTTGTTTTTACTAAGGACGAGAGCTTGAAACTAAATATTAATAAAACGCTGCCGTTTGAATCGATAGCGTTTAACAGACAGGCGCTATTTGGGGCGTTACGTTACAAAATACTACGCAAACAGCGTTAGCTGGGAGATCGATCACTTTGTAATTCCCTCAATGCAGATCACACATGGACTGATCCATTATTTTAATAGGAGGGTAAATGGTATGGCGTGACAGGGTTGAAACAAACTGAGGGACAATATTGCAATTTCATAGATAATTCAAGTATTTTTTCAGAATTTATTTTTGATCAGTTAAAGTTGACAAGCATATGATTATATTAGCAGCAACATTTTGGGATAATTGGCCATTTTGATTGGTTTGATATTAAATTAATATGTAATAATGCTTAGTGAGGACATGCAAATATGTCTGTCTAATACTAAGAAAACCAATTTTTTAAAAACAAAATATATATTTAGTTTTACATTGGAATGCAAAAAAACCTGTTCCATTAATTCATTGCTTTAAAATACATTTTGTAGTTTCCTTTCATTTAAAATTATTGAAGTAAGCTTGGGGGACTCAAAGGGCACCCGATTGTTTGTCTGAACACCTTGTTATTCTTGTGCATTAAGAACACTTGTGTTATGGCATGAATTAACAATAAATAGGTTATATACAGTGTAAAATACCACGTACTGTCCGCCCTCCCATGCCACCCTGGCATGACCTCTTGCCCCCCCTTTGCCCCCCCATGTAAAATGTTCTAGAACCGCCACTGTGAAGACGTATTTACTTTAAACTGTCTACAGGGGAAGCAAAAGGCTGCGTCTGCTTTTAACGAATATTCAAGCCATGGTCTGTTGTTGTACCTACCATGCAGCGGCAAAAAGTGCGCTTCTTTCCTGAAAACAATCTCCCTGATAACGATCCAGTTTCACCTGGTTGGGTTTATTAACCCCAAGATCATCTGGGGCTGTTGTTCTTTGAGCGGTTGCTGGCCCAATAGTACCTGTTGATGTGCTGCGAGGTAGCGTCTGTAGTGGAGGCTCCGTGGAGGAGGAGGAGGAGGAGGAGGAGGAGGAGGAGGAGGAGGAGGAGGAGGAGGAGGAGGAGGAGGAGGAGGAGGAGGAGGAGGAGGAGGAGGAGGAGGATGGCGGGTGTGGTACAGGGTGTGGCAACGCAGGTGGTGATGGTATGGGGCACAAGGAGCTGTGCCTCGGAGGACAGCGTTGGTGGCGGCCGCCTTGATGTGTCAAGGATTGGGCTCGCTAACTCAGCCCCGGGGTTTGCCGAGGTCAAGCTTGTGACATTAAGGCGTGCTGCTGCAACGGCAGGTGCAGGGTCGCCAGCAGCTGCATCGGCTGCAGTTCTTTCATCGCTATTTCGTTTTTAATAAATCCTTAGACCTTTTAAGCCAATTTCTGAAGTCCATTTTGTAATTCAAACAGAAATGGGAGTCTACAGAATGCACAATAAACAATAAACAAATCCAGAATAGGCGGCAGAGTGTGACGCTGTGATTGGTCTAAATGTGGACGAATCACAAATCACAACAGACACATGCATTTATTTGACGTAGCCTGCGATTTTTTTTTAGTTACTATCTGACATCACATACATCGTAGCATAACAGTTCACCTTTTATTTATAATTTTAAAAAAATATATATATATTTTTTTAAAGTTTTAAATAATAAAAAACGTGTTTATTGGGGGAGGGCATGAATATCAAATGGAAGGGCCTGGCCCTCCCTGGCCCTCCCACGGCGCCGGGCATGGGGGGGGGGGGGTACTAGTGGAGCCTCGCAGCGGCGAATCCGTGCAGCGCCACACTAATTGACCCTCATAACGTAAGCGCATAGGTGCGCCGCATTTTCGGCTCAGTTGAGGCACCCTCCGCAAGATGAGGTCCCCTCCGCAAGATGAGGTCCCCTCCGCAAGGTGAGGCCCCACGCAGTCTGCATGATCGGCCTGTAGGGATTCCGGGAAGGACGGCTCTGGGTTATGATCACAATGTAAATGTTTGATTCCAGCTTTTGGACCTTTGTTTCATATAATCTTACCCCACTCTCTCTCCCCCCATGTGTACACTTTGTCAAACAGAGGTAAAAAGGCCAAACGGGGGTTATATCTCTTAATTTTCCTGTGTACTAGGCTATAACCCATGTGTAATGCAACATGCTGCTATTACAAAAAATACATCTTATCTAATCTAAGAGGTTTGCAGGACTTTTAATTGTACCAGTTCTCCACTACTGAATCAGAGGCCTCTCCTTTATATAAATTATCTGAGTACTTCCACTAGCAGTTTGACGCCTCTCCCTATACGCACGTGCTGACTTTTTTCAGATACCTCCGCTGCCACTCACGCTCGTACGCATGCGCGGTGCCTGCAGTGTCATCATCACCATCCCAGAAGTTGTCCAGTCTGTGGTGATACCCCGAGCTGCTGCTGCTGGAGGATCGACGTTCAGCCATTGTCAATACTAAGGACACCCCGGGACTCACCCACTCACAGCCGAACCGAGCCCCACCGGGTCCGGCCGAACACCCGAACACAGCCCCGGTGAGTGAACGGACCAACCGTCGAGACAAAGAGGCAACCGCTGAATAAAACGGCTCTTTTTTGGAGGTGGGGGGGTTATGCTCAACTTGTGCTGAACGACTAGTTGTGTAAATTGGCTAGCTCCGCTCCTCCATTAGCTTAACCAGTGCATCCTTCTGCTTTCGTTACTGTTTCCTCATTGCGAGACATGATTTAAAGAGCGTGCTTCACCGGGCAGTTGTTTAACCGACGTGGTTACATTAATCGGTGCCGTGATGCTGGCGCTATTTTTTTAACATTCATTTAAGTGAAGTCAGGGAGGCTGGCCGGGTGTTTGACAGCCCGGTGCTGCGGGTCACTCAGCGGGTCGGCTCAGTGCCAGAACCGACAGCTTATGGACTCAAACACACACACACACACACACACACACACATACACACACACACACACACACACACACACACACACACACACACACACACACACACACACACACACACACACACACTCAAACACACACACGCGCGCGCACACGCACTCACACAGAAGAGGTTTGATTTGCAGTCCATTTGCCCGCAGCCCTTTAACGTGTTATCTGTATCCTGAGCTGAATGAGCTTCACATGCTGGCTCGTTCGAGGGGCTCAGCTCAATGGAGAGATCACATGCGCTGCCCACCATTCATCCCCATTGTCTCTACTGTCTATTACTGTAGAGGAAAATACTGTACTGTATTTAGGTGCAATATAGTGCTATTTGTACAGTTCTTGAGTAATTTATGGTTTTTATACACTACAATTTAGAGGGTGTGCTTTTTACTGGATTACTGTAATTTTAGAGCTTGTGTTAAAAGCTATTATTAAAACGAAATGTGATCAAAGAAGCATTAACTCAAGTATTTTGAGTTATATGTATGTCCAGTGCTTAAATCTTTGTATTTAAAAATAAAATATGATCAATTAAATGTAATATAGAGCACTTTTATACTCTACTTACACTAAGCAGTTCTCAAAAAGAAACTCCAATTATTTAGATCATCATGTAACTGTGATTTATTAAAACAACGCAGTACCAACAGAATTCACATAGTACACAGTACGTAATAAAACAGGACTAAATTCAATGATATTCAAAGCCAACATGAAATGGTGGATCTTCACTAATGGCGCGTTTCCACTGCAGCGGGTAGCCCCGTTTAAGCGTCCTTAACCGTCCTCAAGCGGCCAGGCCGGTTTTTGGTGGCGTTTCCATATAGCCTAGTACCGGCTAGCGGGTACTTTTCCCCTCTTTTTCCGGCCCCATAAAATCGTGGTTCCCTCAGACCAGGGCCAGGGCTGAACTAGTGACGTCAACACTCTCGACTGCTGATTGGTCAGAGAGAATCGTCACAAGATTGCGCGCGAGTTCATCCCTAGCGTCGCATATATATCTAGAAGCAAGCTTGCAGCATTTTTATACACAGCATTTTGTAAACGGAGGAGCTACAAAAATGGCAATAAAAAAGAATCAGCATGACATGCCAAACAATATGAAATAAAAAAGCAGAACACAAATTAAAATCAATGGAATACATTTAAAAATATGTTGCAGTTCTCTGCTTAAAACACAACGCCATCATATTAATTACATCCGGCATTCAGGCATGGTATTTATTGCATATCAGGTTAGGAAGGTGCATCTGCTAACACTTCACTATCTGCACATTTGGAATATAACACAAAGACAATCAGGATATGAAAATGATGGCGTCTTTGTGTTGGTGAGCTAACAGTCTGTGAACAACAGTCTGGAGCTTCACTTCCTGATAACACATTTTTCTCACTAACAATTTTGAGGATTTAGTGCCAGTGGGCCAGAGCTCTCCCGAATTTCATAGCAGAGAAAAAAGCTACTTTTAATTACAGCATCTTCATAACAGATTCATAACATATGAATTAAAAGACACACCCCAAGTGTTTTTATGCATTTAATACAACATTTCTATTCCAATTGGTTTAAAACATATATTTTAACTTTCAACACAGATGTCAGCTTTGTCACTAGTCAAGTTTCTTTCTACAAGAGCATCAGCCTGTAAAGGATGAAACTGTAGAGCAGCCTTACCATTTTAATACACCTTGCTCATGTTCATATTCTCATATATTTATATTCATTACCAACAGGCTGGACATAATGTAATTCACTTTCACAATCATTGTAAACATCTAGGGCCAGCACTTTCTTCAGTTCACCTTACTGTTGTTCTGTTTATACATGTTATTCTTATATCCTTGTGTGACCTGTACCCGTCCTGTGTTTTTTCCTTATTGCTAATTATTATCTTATTGTCACCTAGGCAAGAGGAAACGAGGAGGAGAGCTTCTTCTGCATTTCGTCTTGATATACGCAGCCTACTTTGCATTACATTCCTGTTTGCTGTGATCCCTTTCCTTCTTCTCGCTGTGATCCCTTTCCTTCTCGCTGTGATCCCTTTCCTTCTTCTCGCTGTGATCCCTTTCCTTCTTCTTGCTGTGATCCCTTTCCTTCTTCTCGCTGTGATCCCTTTCCTTCTTCTTGCTGTGATCCCTTTCCTTCTTCTTGCTGTGATCCCTTTCCTTCTTCTCGCTGTGATCCCTTTCCTTCTTCTTGCTGTGATCCCTTTCCTTCTTCTTGCTGTGATCCCTTTCCTTCTTCTCGCTGTGATCACTTTCCTTCTTCTTGCTGTGATCCCTTTCCTTCTTCTCGCTGTGATCCCTTTCCTTCTTCTCGCTGTGATCCCTTTCCTTCTCGCTGTGATCCCTTTCCTTCTCGCTGTGATCCCTTTCCTTCTTCTTGCTGTGATCCCTTTCCTTCTTCTTGCTGTGATCCCTTTCCTTCTTCTCGCTGTGATCACTTTCCTTCTTCTTGCTGTGATCCCTTTCCTTCTTCTCGCTGTGATCCCTTTCCTTCTTCTCGCTGTGATCACTTTCCTTCTTCTTGCTGTGATCCCTTTCCTTCTTCTCGCTGTGATCCCTTTCCTTCTTCTCGCTGTGATCCCTTTCCTTCTTCTTGCTGTGATAAAAAGCCACACACCAAGAAACAAGTACACGATCGCTTCCATATCCTCCATTGTTGTGTGTGAGTTGTGTCGCATTGAAGATGACGCCACTGCAGTTTTATCTCAGCGTCGCTCCGCCCAAAAAGCCGATCGCCCCGCCTACACTGCGTTGCTACCCCAGGTCCTAAACTGTAATGGAAATGCGCCACGGCCTGGGCCGGCCAGCGAGGCAGCCCGAGGCCTGAGCGAGGACGCTTAGGGACGCTTAAACGGGGCTACCCCGCTGCAGTGGAAACGCACCATTAGTGTAATGAAGTATCATTATAGATAATTATGAGCTACTGTGCGTCATATCAAGTAGTTTAAACAGGCTCCATCTTTTACCTGCTGCACTGTTAAAGTGATACACACATTACTACATCAATAGTTATCAGTGTTTCCCCTAGGTTTACTGCTTTGTGGGGGGGGGATTATTGTTATTGATTACTGCATCAGTGTTTCTTAGGGTCAAAAACACTAAACTTACAATGAAAGCGTGTAGTTTATTTAATAAAAGAGCACATGTTCAATGTGAAAAGTGACAGTAAATATAGATTAGTTGCAATTTGGTGCTATATATTTAAAAAAAAAATATATATATAATTTATATAATACTTTGAATTTCAGGGGGGGCGCGGGGCTCTGTTGGCGGTTGAGTTCTCTGGAAGACTGGCAGTTGAATATTTCCCTCTTGCATTGAGTCACTTCTTTAGACTCAGATCTAAGTGAATTATAGTATCGTGTGTTTGAATGTTTCTGTTCTCAGGAATCTGCTGATCAGGTTACTTCTGCTGCTTTTCCAAAACTAACTTACGCAGTTGTGGTTTTCCTTGCGCTCTCATTTTCTGGCAGCCAAGGTTAACTGTAGACAGGTACCTTCATTGTGCAATCTTTATAGTTGTGTGTTATCATTATTGCTATGACCTGCCAGGAAAAATGTGAAATGCTTATTCAAACTTGAGCGTGTATTCAAATTCTGACTTGGTGCTTTCAGCTTATTGGTATTGGTGATTGTTGGCAGGTATCCATCGAAGTGGGAAGTGGTGAATCACCTTAGTGAATGATAGAGACGTGGTTTGTTGATGATTTACCTAACTATTATCTATTTAGTTATCAGGCTAATGAATGAGGAATGTTGTTTCAGCCTGAGGCTTAATGAGTGGAGACGTGTCAGTTCTGGTTGCTGTTCTTTCTGACTGCATAATGTGAGAAAGCCAATCGGGTTGGTTAGGAGGGAAAGCCTCAATTGGAACCGGATGTGGATCGAGCTTATGCCTGAGGTTATTATTCATTTGTAGCCCTCGAAAATTCCCAAGTTGAATGGGCTGCAAACAACGATTACTTTTATCCATTAATATGTCAATAATGGTTTTGCCCGTCCAAAGCACAAAGATGTATTCAGTGTCATGTGATATCAAATAGAGAACAGCAAGAACACATTCATATACAAAGGGGTTGAAATGAAAACTAACTAATGATTAATGGATTATCAACATGTTTTGATTATTTTACGATGAAATGTTTTTTTATTGGACTAATCATTGCAGCTCTATTCACCGGCCACATTCAAACATTTCACAGCAATTACGTATGGGGAGAAGGAAAGAGCCTTTGTGGGCAGGGGCCAGTTTAAATGCAAAATCTAGAAATAATAATGGATGCACTGGATGTGCACTTGCACACACTTTTGGATGCACCTGTTGTTCACATAGTCACAGGGAAAAACAATTAAACCTGTGCACTGTGTCCTTGAGCTGGTGTGTGTGTGTGTGTGTGTGTGTGTGTGTGTGTGTGTGTGTGTGTGTGTGTGTGTGTGTGTGTGTGTGTGTGTGTGTGTGTGTGTGTGTGTGTGTGTGTGTGTGTGTGTGTGTGTGTTCAGACCATGCACACGTGTTTGAATGAGGATGTATGACATGGGAAACACTGAAATGATCTCATCCTGTCTCTCAAAGGTTCACCACTGGCTG